AGTAGTATCATTAAATATATTGTTATATTTTACAAAAATCTTGAAAAAAATAAACATAATTCTACCCTGCGGTATCATTTTCACATAATATACCTAAAAATACTGCCAGGTCCCTCCTTATCTACTCTTACGTACATTGAAATACTAAAAAATAAATAGTCCTGATTTCTTTCAAAAACTCTTCTTTTAAAAGCCCTTCTTTTGACAGTGTTCCGTTCCGTTCATTCGGTCTCCCATCTTCCACTGATCCCCACATTTTTTTATTTACAAACCCTCTTATAAGGTTGTGCCACATTCTTATACCTTCTTATTCCCTAAAAAATGCCCGCTTCACTTTCTTTTGCTCCCAAGTTTTTTTTTCTCTTTACACCTTTTCTTACAGCTTTCTTCCTTATATTCGTCTCTTCCTTTTATCATTTTCTGCAATTTTCTCGTTCTCTAGTTTTTCATCTTTTTCTTTATACTTAAATTTCCTTCTTGAATTTTTTTAGCTTCTGTTCTAAATTTTCCCATCTTCGCTTTTCCTCTGATTCCTTTTTTTCTGTTTTTTATCATTTTCTTTCCTTTATTTCTTCAAGTGACTTTCTTAGTACATCCATATTATTCATTTCTCTAACAGACTGTATGATTTCTCTTCTAATTTTTCTCCTCCTGTTTTCCTCCACTAAATTTTTAACGTTCCTTTTTCATTGAAAGGGTGGTCGTACAGAGGTGTGAAACCAGTGAGTAAGAAAAATATAGTAAATGTAATGTTACACTTGGTTGTGGAGAAATGCATTAGCTATTTGAACAGTGATTTTTCGATAGCTCGAATAGTTTCAGTTTTCAATTTTTTTTACGTTTTGAAAGTAGGAAGTATTTACTTTTAAATTTACGATGTTTACAAATTAAACGCTAGAGATACTCGATTCCTTGATTAAAACTTCAAACCATCTCTTATAATATATTATTTATTTTAACAAATTTTTTCTTAAAACAAAAACCTTAACTAAGCAAACAAGGTCAACAACAATAGGTGTGAATTCACTTGAATATAACGCTTTATTATTACAATGTAAGGCTAGGGAACTTTGTATTTCATATCATTCACAGTATTCACATTAAATTGAAACGACATATTAACCATGTAATTTATGGGTAATGAAATTCTTCTTTTATGTACCAACATGTGATATTCGAATTCGAACATCTAAAACTACTACAAATTAAATAACAATACTATTTCCCAGCAATTTCATAAGAATAGTCCGAGAACTGTCTGCACAAGATTATGGACGAATTTTATATCACGGTACCCATACAATGTGATTCGTGAGGAGGGGGAGGGGGGGCCTTCAAAAATACCATGCTGGGTCACAAGGCCGGGGGGGGCTTAGGTTTTCGTCACGAAGTCAATAACTTCCGTTTGCAAAAGATGATTTAAATCCATATTTATGAGTTACTACGTGAAAACTAGAAGGGGAGAGAGTCTTGACATATACTACGAGTGGTCATAGAGGGGGGGAGGTAAAAAATGGGTCACGTAGAACGAGTACATACGATAATAAGGAGGGTTACGTTTCTAAACTGGTGGAATCTGACTAGAACACGGGATAGATACAGGGGATGAATGTGCCCTAATGTTTTTTTTAAATACATCATCGTAATAAAATTATTTTGTTATATATTGTTGAAAAANTGAATGTGCCCAAATGTTTTTTTAAATACATCATCGTAATAAAATTATTTTGTTATATATTGTTGAAAAACTGAATTAGTTTTAATAAATAATTGATGAATACTTTATAGTATGTTTCGTATGTGGTTTAAGAGATTTTTGTTAAAAAGAATTTTATGTTCTATTTGTACTTAAAAAGGAATTAATAAATTACTAAGACTTCCACGCAAGAATACTGAAATTTTTATTTTTGCAGGGTACTCTATTTCATTATTGTATGAACTTAGTGTGGGTGATATTTAACTCTTCACACATTTGTAATGTTGTATCGTTAATAGGCTTAATTTAATTAAATTAGGGGATGAAGCGGAATTAGTATACAATTTCGTCTACGTATTACGGTACAGTAACTTAATTTTCGGGTGTAAATCACGTACTGATATATTTCTGTCTAATATATATTATTCACCCTCCTTTTGGAAAGTAATCGTCTGCAACTTTACGTTATCATTTCGTTAGCATATTTAACCGTAAGAGAAATTTTACAATGTGTAAATGGAGAAGTAAACAATTAATTGGCTGTTCTAATTCAGAGTACACAATTTTGTTAAAGATACTTATTACAGCATCTAACGTACGTAGGTACTGCTATAAAGCATTAAAATTTGTTGTCCCATATAATAATCTAACGAATGGGTTTTTAAGAGGTTTAAATGGACAGCTATAACAACAACTACTACATTTTTATATACTGCATATTTCTCTTGGAATATTATTATAGTATCATGGAAATTACGCTGTTTTGTTGATGAAATATTTTATGATATGGGTTATTTTGTGACAAACTGATTTTACAAAGTTACCTTCTTTTATACAGGTAGACTTCCATTATTAGCATTATTCATACATTAAATTCTCATTTACATCTAATATACGGTTTTTTGACAAATCTGTTGATCCATTACTAATTAACCTTGAGTACTTCTGTTAATTTTTAGATAGCAAATTGTTATTTTCTTGTAGATATATTTCAAATTAGGAAATCTGTGACAGATTGATTTGCACTTTGAAGATTTCGTATTTCAAAAAGAACTATACTTTTAAGGTCTACCAGCAAAAAGAAATTCGTGATGAAACTTTATAAAAATGTATTTATTTCTTAACAGTAAAAAATGTACATTTCGAAAAGATAATTACCAGTTACCAACAGTAATAACTGTTATTATTCTTGTTATAATGAATTTTCTAATACTTGGGTGGTTATTTAAACTAGTTTCGATATTTACAATTAGTTATATATTTCACTTGCATATTACTCACTCCTTATACTTATCTTTTATCCACTTTATCCCGTCAGATGTTAGCTTCTCATTTATAGCGTTATATAATATTTCCCGAAATTTTCCGGAAACCTTCCTAAGTTTTCTTTCAATCGTGTAAGTCTTATTAGTTGGATAATTAACGACACCCAGCTGACAGCATAAAAAGTTCTGTCGGTATCGATTCCCGCCCGTGGCATTCGTTCTAGTTCCATAAGGTAAAACATGTATTCTCATTTGCACAGAATGTTTGCAGTTTAATAATATGTTATTCTATATTATTATTCAAAAATACCATGCTGGGTCACAAGGGCGGGGGGGGCTTAGGTTTTCGTCACGAAGTCAATAACTTCCGTTTGCAAAAGATGATTTAAATCCATATTTATGAGTTACTACGTGAAAACTAGAAGGGGAGAGAGTCTTGACATATACTACGAGTGGTCATAGAGGGGGGGAGGTAAAAAATGGGTCACGTAGAACGAGTACATACGATAATAAGGAGGGTTACGTTTCTAAANTTGTAAACCACATTTTTAAATATAAAAAACTTATATAAAAACGTAACTCTTGTATAAGTATCATTGGATACACATTTGTATTATTTATTACTTTGTTAAGTACATTAACTAAATTATACATAAAATTGTACCTATATGATAGTAATCTTTATGAAACTATTCACATTGTAAAAGCTAATTTTTTAAGCATAAATTAGGTAAGTTTTGGAATAAACTAAAATACATGAGTAATTCGTAAAAGATTCCTACTCTATTATTTATTGGGAAAATTTAATAGAATGTTTAAATTCTGTTTATGAGTTTGGTATTTAGACTCTGCTTGTGCTCATTAAAAATAAAAGACATTTTGTAGTTTTCCATAAGAAACAGCAGATGGTTTTGGTTATTTATTGGTGTAGATATCAGATTATGACCGAATGAGACTTTGAATGGCGCCGAGGTTGAAGAGATGTTAAAATAAGAGAAAAACAACATGTTCAAGTAGTAGTAACAATCAGCATAAGGCATAATACCCATTTTAAAAATTTCATGTGTTTATTCATACCAACACAGCATTGTTTTATTTAACAATTATGTATTTAAATAGGTAGAACCTTTCGTAAGAGAAATACTGATATTATCTAATAACATCGCTAGTGATGCTACATAAAAAGCAGTCGTTTTTCCGAAGAAAAGTAAAGGAAAATCATTGTGCATTTTACAATTTAATCTTATCAACAGATTTACACCTGTAAGTAGTTAAAATAAACAAAAAATCAGAGAGGTTTTGAGATAATGACCTACAAGAAAAAGATTTCCCTCAGAGGTTGCAAAATCGTCAATTAAGGAATTAAATCCTTTTAAAACAATTGAAGCATAATTTCCTTTATATTCATCGTCTCTAGCCAAATGATAACGAAATTATTAGAATTTAAAGTACAGTCAAAATGGTACCTACGTATAGGTTTACGTACATACATTTATGTTGAAGTACTTTGGGTAACTATTAAAGGTTGTAATGTGGTTAATTTTTGTGCGTAAGGAATAAATTGCAGGGACTGAACACATAACTGTTGAAAGTTAATTATTGCTTAACCAAAATTTTTTCGACGTCTCCAACTGAGTTACATTTAATAATTTGTGAAGTTTATGAATTTTAATCGATAGAAGATTTATCCAAAGAAAGCATGAGGATAGCAAAGAACCAAGATGTTAAATTGATATTGAAAAGCTTGAAGAAGCCAAAATAAAATTAGTCAATTATGCGTATAGGTAATTTCAACATTTGTTTTTTGTATCTATTTTGCTCCTGAATTAAGAGAATAAAAATGTCTGATTCTTTTGATAATATAAATAATGAGACTTATTATTTTAATTGTATAATTAATGACCAGACGTCATTTTTATAGTACGTACAATCACTTGACCAAACGGGTTCAACCAGTAGTAACACCAAGTGTTTTCTATATGAATGAACAAAAAAGATGTTACATAAACTTTATAAGTGCAAGTAAAAAGTGCTAATTGAAAAAGAAAAAACAGGCAGCAAGCAACCTTGTCGGTTGTATTTGTCCGTGAACTAGACACGGGCAATACTCGAACGGCTAATGGATTCTCGAATGCAAATAAAAAACGTTCAGATTTTGGCTTTGCGCGAAAACCAACTGCGAAAGCTAACTCTCACAGCTATCTAGCTAACCAAGCACTTTCCTGCCAAGGGTTCGGCGCCGCGCCGTGGCAATTCTGTCGGTGGATCGGGGTACATTACGTTGAGAGCATAATATATAAAAGTCGGAAATGAAAATTCAGAACAGTTTCGCACTTCAACTTTTCGGAGCAGCTCGCGTGGGTGACGTCGGTCACTGAAAGTTGTTTTTCTATTTCGTCGTAACATAAACACAGGAAGCACTGTTTTAAGACGATGTCATCCATACAAATGAGAACCAATGTTATCCTGCCTCCTAGGCTTGAGAAACTTAAATTTTCAGAGTACAGCAATGTGGTAAGCATTTTTAATATTTTCTTTCAGAACTTTCTGTTTTGATCGGTTTTGAAAAAAGTTGATGGTTTTTTGGGTTCTCATCGTTAGAAAATGAAAATTATTGTAATAATTTTCTACTTTTTCCTTTTCTTCAAAGGTTTTTAGGAAAAACACTGGTTCTTTAATCATTCTTGTTAGCTTTTGCATATTTAGTTTACATTATATAAGAAATGTTTTCCTCCAAATAAGTTTCCTGTTCATCGAATAAAACTTATTATAAACTAAAAATTTCCCTTCAAATTCACTTTTAATTTGACACTTGCATTGATCAGAGACTTCGTCTTCGTGAAACTATTTCTAATTGTTTATATTACATACAATTATTATAACCAATAAATAATTTAAAAAGGTAGTCTACATCACTTTTGACAATCTCCTATTTAGGTCTGTAAATTTTTATCGAAATTGGTTCTGTCCATACAGACAAAGAGACAGACAGGAAACTTAAGGGTCGTTTGTATCTTAAAAGCATTTAAATAAAAATAACAATAGGAACATATAAAAAGATAATTGTTTCGATATTACATTTCAATTTTATTTATACGTATAGTTCTATGGATTGATTATTTACAATAAAATGTTTTAATTTATAAATATAATTTTTATTTAACCGGAATGACTAGATTTTCACGCAAACAACTACTGTCTGCTAGTTATTTATGTATTTTATGTTGCTTTTATTTTAATCGTAATACTACTCGCAAAAATGATTAAATTTAAGCCTATTTCATTCTAAAACTGTAATAGTTTTCTATTTACTAGAGCTACGTACTGAATAATCAAAAAAATATAACGTACGGTATACTTTACGATATTAAAAACTCATGAGAAAATGATTCCTTAACGCATAAAAAATGTAATGTTTAATTTGCAAAAGCAAAGTAACATTAATAACAATTATTATCCGAAGCATCATTGATGATTTGGATAAACAAATATTTGTTCGTAGAATTAATAGTAAACAAACGTCAGTAGTTTTCTGCAAAATGTCTACTGAATGATTTAATTAGTGCTCTAAAAAAAGTTTGTTTGGCACTCAGTTAGTTCAGTAGGTATAATTATACCATTGTATTTCAAATGTTTTTTGTTTCTCTCATCATCAACGAGTGGTTTTGATTATAATTTGCTTTCTTATTATGATTACAATAAATTACAATTGAAAAATTATCTAAAAGAAGCTCTGTATTTGGACAAAGTAATAGATATTTGTGCATCATTTAATAAAAACGGCGCATAGTTTTGTATTAAAGTGCCTTGGATTGAATGCGTACGGTTGTCAATTTTGCGTTATTACATTGGACTAAATCAATGTTCAGGGTGAGCCCTTACATGGCCCAGACTTTTCAATGCCATCCGGGCCCGTAGCATGTACCAAACAGGATTTTCATGTTAAACTTCAATCGTTGCTAATATGTTGAGTTTCTGTTTTAATGACAGATGTGCATTATTAAGTGCTAATAAAGATTTTGGATTATATAACAAATTAATATAAATTTTGAAAATTCGATTATCAATTCGAAAATAAATGTTTGTCAATAACGATAGGATACTTTTTATTCGTTATTCATTTATCGTATGCAAAATCATGACAGACATTATAATCTCGGAATTATCGTAAACATTATCTTAACCTTGTGGTTTATTTTTATCCGTTACTTCGAATGTAACAAAAAATCTTTGTTAGATCGTGTAAACCAAAAACAAATAATTATTTATTCGGGTGTGAATTATATTTGCACAATTAAATATAAATATGTATTACAGTACTACGTTTTGGCTCAGGTTTTCTTTAATATTATTTAACAACTACAATAAATAAAAAGGTTCAGTTTGTTCATAATTAAAAAATGAAAAATCGTTTAAATTGTATGTGATATAAACAATAATTGCTGTGGATAAAACAATCGTATAATACAACGTCAATTATTGTGGTAGGTACCTATATTTTCTATTACCTATAATTGTACTAGCAGAGCTATGAAGATTGTTTGCATTAAGTGGTTAATTTAAATAAATAATTGTAAAATATCGCCATTGGTGTTTATGAATATTCTATTAGAACATTTTATTCATTTTATGCAGGTAGTTTTATTTATTGTCTCTGCTGTTTTAGTTATTTGATTACAATGTTTCTTTAAATAATATACAAATGCAAAATTTTTTTCTGCTTAATGTACAGCTTGAGCGTAACAAAATTTCATCTTAAAATCCAACAATTTGTGGAAAGTCACACAAAGAATTCATATAAATATTAATTTTAATTTATTTTTGAAAATAATAGTCTTAGTGGTATTGAACAACCCCACCAGAATCTCATCGAAGTAAAAAAATGGAGAAATTCGAGTTAAAAAGTTTGGAATAAATGTAAATCAACATGTATGTCAAGAGAACATAAAATATTTGAGTTAGAAAAGTTTT